ATTGGTACAATCTAAACTTTCTGAATCGAATCTCTGAGAATCTAAATTGATCGAGTAACACAAGCATTTCACAGTCTCATCTCTTCTGTAGACGATGAGGCTAGTTTCAAACATTAAAGATAGAAAATACTGAGAGCTTTCCTCTCTGTCAAAGTCTAGTGATAATTAGAAATAATTGTCATTTTCATTCTTGACTCAAATAGATTTTTATTCATTCAAAAATGACTTTTACAATGATCGTCCTTCTTTCTTTTCAGCTGACAATACGATAAGATAATACTATGTCTATTTTTTACGATGTTGCCATTTTTGATAGATACGTTCGGCTTGATCTTCATTCACAACTGCATTTTCCGTCACATCATAGGTCATATCTGCCTCTGCTCTGGCAGTTGGTGGCGCACCATCTGCCCCAAAAAGCTCTGTAGAGGTAGGCAATGCGAACGGAGCAGATCCAGATGCAGCAGCCGACGATGTACCAAATGTAAATGAAGTAGATGTAGTTGCCGTTGGAGCAGCCGAAGATGTACCGAATGTAAATGGAGTAGGTGTAGTTGTTGGTGGAGCAGCCGAAGATGTACCAAATGGAAATGGAATATGTGTAGGTGCCAGTGCAGCAGTCGAAGACGTACCAAATGAAAATGGAGCAGGTGCAGTCGGAGGTGGACCAAATGTAAATGAAGCAGGTTGAGTTGCACCAAATGTGGTTGGAGCAGCTTTTGGTGCTGATAAGAATGCATGTTGCATTTCGGCCATATTTTGACAAGTTGAAGAATATGCCTTGGCAGTACATGACGTCACTCCAAAAGTATTTGTCATATGTGTTGAAAAAAGATTTTTCGTTGTAAAAATATTGCTGATTCGTTTGACTTTTTCTTTATCATCAGCACCTTCTGCATCTGCTCGTTCCATTTCACGATTAATATCTTCTTCAGTGGTTTTTATTAGCCGATCCAAGGAAATTTCTTCACGCACACCACCAATAATGACTTTAGCCAAGAGTTTAGCATTAACCATGGGAACATATTGGCCACCTGTAGTATAAGCCAATGACATAAAAAAATCACGATAAGGCACTAGAAAAAAGATCAATCAATGAGAACAACAAATATTTCTCGAATTAAGCACTTACTAATAGGAGGTTCAACACCAACTGAGTAGAGTGTGATATGTTTTTCTGCCATTTCTCGAACGATTTGTACAGGATCAAGACCATTGGGACATCCATTGGGAAAACCATCACCACTAGGATTGAGTCCATGAGGTGGAGCATCGGCAATCAGAATACAAATTTTTGTTGATTCAGCGCGCCACGATAGTTTGAGAACAGCATGAAGTCCATCAGCTACAGCTTCTGGTGCATCTCCACCTCCAATTGCTTGACATTCTTGTAACCAACCTTTCATCTCGCTAACTTTAGCGGTAAAATCATGCACACGTGTGACAAAAGTGTCATCCTAAATAGAACGACATGTTTAAGCCAAACATCGTTCTTCCAAATTTGATGCTTACTTGAGGTGGATGATCACGATATTCGACAAGCGCCAAACGAATGTCACTTTTTTCGCTAACGACAATTTCTTCCACAATTGAACGTATATTATTTGTAGCACTCGCAATATATGATCCCATCGATCCAGTGCAGTCCATAACAAAGACTAAATCTGTACACAGAAAATCATCATTGAAATAAAATGATACATATATGAAATTCTTACGCACCCAGAATCGATGATTCGTGTTTAGCTAATTCAGGTCGAGCAACTTTCTCCATTGTAATTGCACTGGCCATATTTAAATGTATTCGAGTAGTAATGATTACTTATCCCAGCGAAAATGATCAAAGAATGCATGACGAGTTGTGTGCACGTAGTTTTATATGTCGTTGTTTTTTTTCTTTCCTTGCAAGCAGTTGTGTAAATTTATCGTCGGCATGATGCATCACTCAGAATGGCAAAAAAAAGTGACTCATTTTCTTGCCACATATCGACAGGAGAATCGCTATGTAACCAATAGAATAATAATTCTTGCGACAAAACAGCGAAGTTTGAGTCATCAATAGAACTGAGTTGGGTTTTTTTGCTGCGACAATCATGTAAATAAACTCGAAGATATAATTCTAACAATATTAGTGTAGCAAATATGAATCAAATCGAGAATATATCAATGATCGATATGTCTCCTCTTATCTATGCATAAATTTTGAATATAGGATGGTATGTCTTTATATCTTGTTCATGCCACTGTAATCATATTTTTCTATTAAACGGCATCATGATGATTCATAAAACAACTGTTATATATTATATTTTTGTAATTTTCTCATCTACAAACAAGTAACTGCATTGAGCAAAGAATTCAATTATATTTATGAATGTATTCAGTAAATTTGAGGACGAAGTTGATGCCCTTTCTTTTCATTCATCCACTCTCACTCTAAGCCTTAAAGATAAATTCATTTCTACAGAAATTACTTCACTCACCAGTAGATAGCTCATCTCAAATGGGTCTAGATAGACAAAAAAACACACATTTCAATGAAAATAAAATCACTTACCACTTAATTTTTCATTTCCAATTGATCTAAATGAGAAAAGAAATACATTTCTATGACAATTGGTTGCTAACCTGAGGATTATGTGTTTCAAATCAATCTAAATAGAACAAAAGATAGACTTTCATCGGAACTAGTTCATTTATCTGAAGGTCTTTTCTAATAAAAAAAAACCTTATTTTCATCAAAACTAGTTCACTTACTAAAAGGATGTGATTGTGGTGTGAGTGTATGAGTAGATCCTTTCCTCACACACACACACGCACATCCTTCTAAGTTTTTATCATGAGCCTTTGCCTCTTTGGAAAAGATATACATCGATGAATCAAAATAGCAATCAAGCAATACTTTAAAACCTCAGAAATAAAAATAAGAGTACGTGGCAAACATGTGAGACGTTGCTGTTGGTCAACACAAAGTAGTTGCATATTATTTTTCGTTCTAGACGATAAAAATATGATATCTGTTATTTTGCATGAGTATTCGAATGTCATGAGAAAACATATTTGCTATTTTTATCTTTAAGTTTTCGTTACTGGATTTTTTTTTTATTTTGGCATATGTTATATTCTAACTCCTGTTTCTCATTTTTATCTATTAAATGTTTTGGTTGTTCAAATTTTTTATACTATGTTTCTAGAAATATTATAGTCCATCTTCTAACAAATATGTGAATGCCACCTTTTAACATTAGCAGGCTGCAGTGACAAGCTTCTTTTTGATTAAATCGAATGAAATAGTATGGTAAGTGAAAAAGCCACTTGAGAAAAATCTCTTCATAAAAATTCATAATTTGGGTAAATCTGCTTCTATCATTTTGATGAGCATTCTTATCGATATGGAATTCTATGTACGAAAGAATCCATATTTGATTTTAGTTTCATACGTTCCTGTGCAAAAAGAGAAACGACGGTTCGTTCAAGTGCGTCTTTCGTTCTTGTTTTTTTTTTCTGACACTAGTTCATATTAAGTTATTTTGTGTAAGTATGTACTAACTGATCTTTCATTTAATGTTATGTGAATCTTTGAATCTAATGATGAATAAATATTTTTTCAACTTAAGTTTCTGTTTCGTTTCTTTTCGAGAATGAAAATATTTAATATTCGTTCAGTAGCATATTGATTCTACATATACGTATGTCTGCATATATTTTTTGCAAATATTTATCTATAGTACTGGTTGTCATCGAAAGTCGTTTATCTTCTTCTTGACTAATCCTATTGTCGAGGTTGTACAAATCTTATTCATTTCAGTGTTCATTCATTCATTGTTAATATACTTTTACATATGCGACAATTCTTTGAGGATGACTTGGCGTAGATTTCTTCGGAAAGATTTTTCTGAATCTCTGCTATTTACATTATTATATATTGGTGTCAACCTTTCGAAAACATGTGTTAATGCATGCATTTCGAAAAATTAACTTGATTATTTTCTTGCTCAGCTTATTAATCAGTTAATGATACTAGAAGTTAGAGTGTATGACGAGAACTACGATAGTTTTGAATTTGATTAAGATTTTTATGAATCCAAATATAGAAACATACAATGTCGTCGCTCACGTAAGTTGAAGAAAAAAAATTACTCAATACCAACAGTGTTAAAACTATTGAAGTTAGTAATTATCCAAAATATTCAATTGAACGGTCTTTTCACCTAAAAAGGGATTTATTACCAAAAACATCGATGATATTGATCAACGCTTTATTTATCAATCATGTCAACTAGTTCAAAAAAAATTCTTTATCAATTTCATTGTAGATACCGGCAGTACCAATGTTATTTAGATGTACAGATTAGGCAAATATTCATGTTTTTTTTTCCTATTTCGAATCAAGTATGTTTGATAGTGAATGTCTATTGCTTATTTATTTTATGGTGTTTCTTAAATATGGTTCGATAAAGATTTATAAGTTGAGTTAGAACGTTTAATAATATTTTTGTTCAATGTGTAATTGGACTGGAGCATTAAAAAGATATCAAGTAAAGAACATCACTTACTTATTTTTACATAATTGATATTGATTTCAATTTTATTCCAAGGATCATCTTGATCAAAATCATGGCAATTGATTTTTCATCTGTTCATTATGTACTGAACAAGTAAACCTTCATTTAATTATTGATTGTTCTATGCCAAGATGCAATGAAGTCATTATTTCAGGTAGATCGAAGCAAAACAACAGAACATTATTTGACTTCAATACAACAAATGATATTATTAAATATTATCTTACATTTGCGATCCATGCAGCTCAAGAATGATCAACAAAATAGAATGTTCATTCTGTCTGATGATGCATCAATATTAGATACTCAATTAGAAGAAATTCGAAATAGATTTTATTCTCAATAACAGACACTTCAATTTGAAAATCATGAATTGATTTTACTTAAAAATTAATCTCGATCAAATGGGTATTGTTCAAGATTTTCGTTTAAGAAAAATTCTATCATTAGGGCAATATTTTGATCATAGGTTCATTCTATATTTCAATGGTATATTAATATGGAAAATTAGTAATGTGTAAGAAACAAATCGATATTTAGATTCAAAAAGAACAGATGATGTCTATTATTTGATGAATTATTCAATTCACAATTGATACTAAATTCGAACGAAAACAATCAATTTACTAGCCAGAATTTTATTCATCATTGGCAGGTTATAAAATATATTCAAGAATTTTTCTAATAGAACTGATGATGCTCAAAATACACATATATGGATATTTTTCATCTTAACGAGCGGCAAATATGATGCTATTCTTCTATGGCCATTTCATTTTAGAGTCATATTTTCTCTACTCAATCAATTAACTACTGAGGACGAGCGGTATCATTTAAGAAAATACCTTTGACCTGATCTACAAGTGCAAATAAATGAAGCGTACGATTTCAAAAAGTTTATCTCCCTTAATGAGTTTCAGCAACATCAAGAGCAATATGTGAAAGATGATACAATGTTTATTCAAATTGAAGTCGATCTTTTGAGTACTCTATCGAGTAATTTTGAGACTGACATTCATCATTACAAGAAAATGATTACTTTGTTTTGTTCGTTTAGAAAATCAATCGGATTCAGGTGAAATATTAATGATTGATGAACAACATACGGGAATAGAATGTGATGCGAAAAATTTTATTTTCTGTCGGAGATTTTGAGAGAATTCGATAAAAATTAACGATTATCACCTATTCTAGCATTTATTTTCTTTACGATAACTGCTTGATGTATCCATAGTCTTTAGTATCAATGGGATGTGGGGTGAGGCTATGAATTTACGAAAGACTCATACTCTTGGAGTCCACCGAAACTCATTCATTTACAGCCTCATCGTTCAAATCAACATGGCGATGAGCTATAGGCTATTGCAATAGTCCAATGAAGAAACTCCACTAATGATTGATGATCAAGATGCCATTACTTTATAACTATCCCACTAAATAAATCTTAGTTATGTCGAATACTTAATTATGCTAAGATATGGTTACATGACTGTGGCTGCGAGTGACAGATATACGTGGAGTACGTGTGGTGAAGGGTGTGGGTGTGGGTGTGGGTGTCTTTGTTATCTTCAATTTGTCCAAAGTCACATCTACACACCCACACCCACACCCTCAAGATAGTTTGATTTGACTTCTAGTTAGATCCCTTAAGCTGATGCGTTCTGCCACCTGATAAGATTGAGTCAGTAACATCAGAAATACCTCAAGGTATCGTGGTGACTATATCAGACCCACAGGCACACCCACATCTACACCCACCCTAGTAAGATGTATGACAGAGATGTGCAAAGCTGCATATCATTCGACAGATATATGTAATATTAATGATCACACAAATATATAGGCATATGCGAAATTTAGTGAATATAGATTGATGTCATTTTGTAGCTTATTGTCATTTCCCCTCAAATGATTCAGGACACTGTTCATGGTGCATTTTAATTGCTTGCATCAATGCTCTTCTGAATGCGGTCTGCTCATCGATTGTCATGTCGAAAAAAATTTCTCGATTACGCCAAATATCATCGGCAAGTATATCACGTGGTGTCTTTCGTGTAGTGATGTATCGTTCTTTGATTTGCTTTTCCTTCAGTGTCTTAATTTTCGTATGATAATTTTTTCGAATAGCAATACACACACCGTATTCTGGATTGTAATTTGGAACACACATGGTTCCCACTTTCTGCTGTATTACGTGATGAATTTCAAGACCATCGCCGACTACGCTACGTTCTTTCAGGTCATGATAAGTACCTACTTCGAATTCAAAAACAGGGTTCTTTGAAATTTCCGATGTTTTCGAGGCTAAAAGGAAACAAGAAAAGAATTAGTGAAAGTCTATTTTCTGCATCATTACTTTTTTTGCGAGATCGGTTTTCATGTTTTCTCTACATTCTATAGACGTTTCAGGTGAAGGCTAATTTTATCCATCAAAAGTCAATAAGAGCTAAGTTACGAACGATTTACAGAGTAATGCGACGATCATTCTAGTAGAACTGATTACTGTTTAACTTACTTCTCTGTTTTTCGGGAGCCGAACTATTGTTTCGACGCCGGGACTGTTGTGTTTTGTCTGATTCTGCTTTAGCTTTAATATCTCGAGATCGCTTTGACACTTGATTAGCGTTTGGAGTTGTTGTTGATTTCTTCGATTTCTCTATTTCATTTTTTAAGTTGTTTTTTTCTACAAGCGTTGGATTTAGCAACACACCTCCATACACTTTCATATCTAAGCTCGGTGAAAACGCTGCTGGTACCCAGAAACATTGTTTCTTATCATTATCCAAACGTCTTTCATCATCATCATCATCATCTTCACCATCATAATGCAATTTTAGTTTCTCAATAGTAAATTTCAATTTTGCTTTGCGTTGTATCAATGATTGTTTTAAATATGTTTCGAGTTCTCTCTGGTGATTGTATTTTAACCAATCTAGTAGGTATGGTTTAAGATTACTTTTTTTGCAGAAGTAGTTTTTGTATAAGCTATTAGATAGACTATTCAAAATTTCTTCATCCGTTTTCTCATACCCAGTCGGATATCTACCAATTTTTCTTTTAATTTCGGTGAGAAGATCTCGAAGAGTAGTGTCATTTTCAATTTGTGCAATAAAATTACATTGACTTTCATAGCGTGCTTGAATGATACGTGATAAAACACTTAATTTCAATAATTCTTTTAAACGCAGCAATTCAGGAAAGTATTGTCCGATCTCATCATAGTATTTTGTAAAAATACGTGCAAACTCAGCTTCAGCCGACTGATCGTTCTCGTCATCACTTGGATCGTCAATTAAATTACCGTGTTCATCATATTTCATTCGATGTTTTTTTACACACATCTTAACTTTGTCACTTAAATAACAATGTACGATATTTTCATTCTTACGACCGAAAAAGTTTTTGTGAAATACTTGTTCGTATTCAATGTCTGACTCTAACTGTATCCAAAAACGATGAATACTGTCAATCAGAGGTCCCTTATGTTTCATCGCTATTGACTGTAACTCTTCGCGTATATGTGCTGGCAATCGTTGCATTAGATTTTCCGCCGACGAACGCATTTCAAATGGAGTTAGTGAACAGATTTCGACACCAGTCGAAATCATTTTTAATAGATAATCAGTATGTAATAGTGTGAGTAAATAGTTCGGTACTTTAACCAAACGTTTTGGCAAATATCTCATTTCATTAAACGGATGCGAATGATATTGAGCATTCGGAGGATCCAATGTAAAACAAGCATAGGTAATACCATTTGTTAACACATCCATAACATCCGTCGCATCAAATCGTTTATGTTCAGTTTTTTTGGCTTCTGTAAACATAAATTCAATATCACCTGTATCATTGTTGAGTGTGACACCAATAACCTCTGCATATCCTGACTGATCTAATTGTAATTCATGTTTGGTACTCAAGTACCATCCATCATGTGTTTTTGGTATCATAGGCCAACGAAGTAGATCTGCGACGTCATATGTTGTCCATTGATAATCTCTTAACAACAAGTACATACAACAATAGCGTTCATAATCAAAATCCTCAGCACTGACCCAACCTTTCCAAATGCCTTCGAAAAAATAATATTGATACATCGAATTCTCTGCTGCCAATGATTTTAAGTATTTGGATAGAAATTCGTTACCAGCACACCCCATGTAAACCATATCATAAGATAAAGCCGTTGATGGTACATGTGTAAATGGAGTAACCTTTGAGAGTTGTAGAATGCTTTTCAATAATTCATCAAGGATCGTTTCATGAAAATCATTTAAAATCGGTTGACTCACAATGGTTGGTTTTAAACTACCCGATGATATTAATCGTTTAGTAAACAAATTTGTCGAACACATAATCAATGTGTATAATAATTTATAAGCATACATTTGAAAGTATAATGATAAATAGTGCCGTGTGAGAAGAAATATTTCGATGGATATATCAAATATAATAGAACGATAAGCATAAAGTTCTGCTAATGTGCATTTCGTTTGATTCATGAATTTAAAGAAATATAGACATGTCATTATTAAATTATTCATCAAAAGTGTTCCACTTCCTGTTACAGTCATACTTAAATCCATGTAAGAATAGGCTGCTTGAATGGGATCATTCTCAGCTAACCGCTTCAGTATCGCACGTTCATATTTCTTCAGCATACGCAAATATTCCGTTCTATTCAAAAATGTTAAGTTCATCATTGTGATTGGCGGAGTTATATCTACTAGATCGAGCGATCGTTTTTTAATGTCATTGATTAATGTTTGACGTAATGTTGAATGAAAATTTGAATGATCCATATAGATAACGAGACCGTCTATTACAGCATCATATGGATGGCATAGTAATGCATCATGAGCACTCTGTAAAGATTTTTCTAGTTGATTTTCAAGTTTAAATATAACTGCTTGTATTAAATACATTTTTGAGCGATATTCAGATGGTTGAACTTCTGATAATTGTAAACGACCAAGACATTGATGAAATAGTTGCTTTAATTGTTCGAGAAAATAATAATTTGGATTCAATAGGACTTTAATGAGTTCAACATAAGATTGATAAGTCGCAGCTTTAAGTGTTTCGTATACTTGATTATACAAATTAGTCAGAAATCTCTGATTCAAGTCTTTCAGATTGGCTAATGTTGCATTGGATAAATTTTCAAAACTCGAAAGTATATGCACTCCGCCATTGATTAACCGATCAGTCTCATCGTTTAGATCACCCTGCTTTTTAATTTCATTCAAGAGCAAAAGATGGTATTTAAACAAGTCTATGTCTTTGAAAATATTATCCGTTTGGTACATCTTAATTGCTGATTGTATCAGTGCATTAACATTTGGATCCTGTTGCTTCGACAATACGAGACATATGTTATAGCAAACATTATTGCATAATAATGGATATTTCTTAGATAAAATCTAAACGAAAAGGAAACAATCTTTTATTGAAGATCTTCTGACATGACTATATTGTTCTACTGTCAAATTTTGATTTTCTTCGCTAAAGAATAATATACCTTTGTATTATTTCCTCGCAACCGCTTATATACTATGATATAATACTGTAATGCAATTGATAGTGGTAATGTAGATGATTGAACTTTTTCTACGATAATTTCATCGATTTTAGCTGATGGACACCATAGATAACAGTTCAATGCAATATCGTACTTTTTGTCACTAACATACCGGTCTCCCAGTTGTTTCCAATCATAAGGAGATTTGATGCCATTAAGCAACTCATATCCTACAGGACTAAAATTTTCAATAGCATTTATCAACCAGTCTAAATCATTATTTCGATTTATATATTCTGCCATTTTATGACATAATAATGCTTTAATGTAGTTTTTATCACTAACATATTGAGTTTTATATTCAACCCATGACGTATATCTGTATAGATGGCATATGGTCAGTCCAATGACAATGTGATTTATAGAAGATGTTAACGTTTTGTAAACATCATTTAGCCAATCATCCAACAAAATTGTTGTACTACTTGACACCAATATTTTACTCAAAAAATAAACATAGCTGTTGGATGATATTAAAAGATTGATCCGTAGATTATCATATAGATACGAGAGTAAATACGCCAATTTATTAAACTGCTTTGTTTCAGCAAGTCCTTCAGCAATTTGGCACCATTGATCCACCGGTATAGTACCGTATAAATAAAAACAAAATATTGCAACACTGCCATCATATGTAGTTTCCAACAATGTTTTCTCTGCTAGTTGTTTCCAAGTGATTTTATTATTATCACCATATTTAACATGAAGGTACAGCAAATAGAATAAACATGTATCCATATCATCAGATGATTTTCTAATTGCAAAATTAAATACTTGTTCAATTGTTAGTTTTGCACATTCATAGCATAGTAAAGCATATATAGAACTGTTTTGTAATACCGCTTGTTCTAACCAGAATTGACTGGATTTTTGACATAACTGCATGCATGTAAATGCATACGAATATTCTTTTTTGTAGCAGAATTCAATTGAATATTTAAAATAGACCTCGCTACTCGTTTTTGCATATGTAAAACACTGAAGTGTTAGAGAATAGTTGGCTAGTTGATAAAAATGTTCACCAGTTGTTCGGTAAAATGATTCATTTCCATCAGATTTATATAAATAGAGCAGTGCTAAGTATTCTCTTAAATATTTTGTATAGTTTCTCTCAATTAAAAGTTTAACATAAGTGAAAATATGTTGATAGACGAATGTTTCTTTTTCATTTGAGCATTTCCGACAGATTCGAACTGGTAATTTGATGTAGCCCAGATGTGGTATTCGTTTGAATAATAAACAATCGGAGCAGTGTTGATGACCACACATGCGACAATAGTAACGGCGATTAAAGAGTGAGAACGATTTATGACAGGTTTGACAATGGTTGGAAACGATTTCATTCGGTGGATTTTCTATGAGGTAATAAAAGTCATTTTTACTAATATACTGATTCGTTGTTATCGCATAATCAAATAAATAATAATGACCTGTTGTTGTTCTTTGATCATTATTCTGTATTTTGGAAAAAATTCCTCGTTCCTCTTCTTGATCATATTTGTCGAAGACCTTTTTTAATTCTTTTACTTCGTCCATTACTGGTAAATAATCAATAATTGCTATCTGTGACAAAAGTTTAGGTAATTTCATTAGTTCTAGTTGATCCTGTTGATATTTATCTATAAATAATGTCCAGTATCGTTCTGGTTTGCAAATGATTTGGACTGGATCTTTAAGTTGTTCAATTAAACTCAGTGATTCGCCCCATTCTTTCTGAGTGTTCCAGATAGGAAAATAAACTGATGTTTTCTCTACCGCCTTCCAATTCCATAGATCGATATCAATCGTTTCTTCAAGAGTTATTGGCTTCATAGTGTTACTGAATAAATTTTCATACAGTTCACAATTCTCACGTTCATGCAAATGTCTATTTAGATATGATTGACGACAGACATTACATGAACCATATGTATCAATAGCATCGATCTTAGTGTTATTATCATTATCAATTTTCGTAATAATTTCTATAAATTTCTCATTGAAATTATTCCGAAATGATAAAGTCTCATATTCAGCTACATAGCGATCAATACGCGCTCGATAGGAATCCGAAATCTTTTCTCCCATGATTAGTCTAGAAAAGATACCAAGAGTCTACGCTATTATAAACTATTCTATTCAATATTGAGTGCTTTACCTCATCTGAGTGTTTTTTGATGCAGAGAATATTTCATCATCATCATCATCGTTGTCATCTGTCTGATCAAAATCGACGTCTGTATCATATCCTGCTCGTCGTGTATCGTCGTATAGTGTTTCATAGGCTAATTTCATCGACTGAAACAGTTTGGTCGTATCTGTATTCTTGTTTTTATCTGGATGAAATTCACGTGCTCGACGAAAATAGGCCTTGCGAATTTCTTCCTTGGTAGCATTTGAATTAACATTTAACAATTTATAAAAATCAGTTTCATTGATGTTAATAAATGCACCACTAGAATATATTGAAACTTAGAACTGTATGTTTCCTCTCATATTTTTAAAACTGTATTAAAATAATTAAACTCGAAAAAAAACACCATACAGATGTATATAAACTCGTATGACGGTTACCTGCTGTTGTCGTATTCACCATCTTCCTCATCATCTGTATCCTCTGTCTTGTATTCATTGCTCGTTGCCATCTTTTCCAACTATAAATAAGCTATTCTTCGGTTTGAGATAGAAAGTTCTTTAAATATAAAACTATTTTAGATAAGCGAAGACGTTATCTCATTTTGAGATGCAAAGTAACTTGCATAATAGATAAGGTACGAAAGCAACACGCTTTCAGATTCCGCGAATCGTGTTTCTACTTTCAGGTGTGCCACTGGAACCAGCAATGGGTTCGACTCGGTTTCATATCTGGGTGTGGGGGTGAGGTGTATGCAGTGTCAATAAGATTTGACTGTGAACATGTGACAGTCAACAATTTTATTCATACTACCGCTAAATAACAAGTAATGCATAGTAAGCATCGCAAACTCTCTACTGAAAGGATATTCTTATGCTCCCGAGCTCTAAAAACCCATCTAATATAAGTGAATGTTTTATAATAGTCCATTCGAAAGCTCTTGTGTAAAGTAATTGATGTCAAAGGAACAATTTGAAGAAAACAATAACTAAGTCACGAGTAATCTTATTCGATTTCTTTCATATAGAAAAGTCCATATTTGAACCATGATGTCAAACCCTTAAATAATTCTTTTAACATTTAAAAAGAAAGCATTTTCAAACATTCCGTATATTCAAAGGGTTTTTGTCACTATATAATAATAGCTATGTTATTCTTATCGAATTTCTTGATTCATTTTTAAATGAATTTCCACATAGGGTGTGGGTATGGGGTGAGATGTCTGAGTGTATGGGCTGTGTATGAATGTGAATGTGAGTTGAGAAAAGATAACATTCACACTAACTCACACCCACCCACCCACCCACATCCACATCCACACCCACACCTACCCACACACCCACCCACCCACACCCACACACACACACCCACCATTTTCAATTGAAATAAATCCGTTCAGCTATTGGTTTTCTCGAATGTTCAATGCCATGATCTAAACATTTGTATGTGTGATGAGAGAATGCAGATAGATTGTGATCTGAGACATAGCAATATTGATATATAGTCTTCTCTTCATCTAAATAAAACATAAAAGTAAGATAAAACAAGATTGATTTGATATAAAAGAACTGCTTGGTAAAATAAATTATACTCTCAATCAGTGCCTAAACTTAAAATACCCGTCATATTCTAGAAACTAAAAAGCGATTTATGAAAGTGCCACCATCTGTAACACCCGTTTTTTTGTTCATCGAAACAGTAAATATACACTTCAAGGATGTACTGGCTATTAAATGTACGTTTGAGGGTATGCTGACTCTTTTAATGAACAAAAAGAGTTTGGAGATTGTTACATTTTCATAAACCGTTCTTATAAATTCTATATACAATATGTTTCTGTTCATTTCAACCGCTTTATGAATCATCTTCAATACTGTTAATATTGTTAATATTAAAGAACTTAGTGAATAGAAACCGTGATTAGGTCTAATGATTCTTTATGTATTATTTTATCAAAATAAGTCTCGTATTGTCTTTCCCTTAATCATCAGTAGAATACGGTGGTTCCCAAAATGCCGCGTGAAACTGAAGCCGTTAAATTGTCGATCAGATATAAAATTTTTAAATAAGTCTTGAGAAATGTTCACTATCGAACTGTTGAGACTAACGATGACACGTATTTAAATACTTAAGCAAAACAATATTATACAAATATACTGAAATCTTGTATCTCAAGAATAAAAAAATAAAGTTATCTTGATTTACATTTAAGAACTTTTGTATCTATCTGATGCTTAAACGTTTTCGCTTCTTTCAACGGTCTAGTTTTTTTTAGGAACCGTCGGACTTTACTCACTCGAAAGTAGTAATAATGTAAGTTTGAGTGCGAGTGTGGGTGTGTAGACATAGCTCTTCTCTTTACCCACATTCACCGACCCTGAAACGCACAGCCACAATCACAGTGACAACCACACTCATTGAAGGTTTTTGTGATGAGTGATATGTCTAATAGATTTAATATTCAACAACGTACATCGAATAATCACTGAGAAAGAAATTGGTTTGTCTTGAATGTTGAGAAATTATGACGATGTTTCGACTATCTACGTTCTGGAAAGAAATTTCTAATATTTTTCCGAAAAAAAAATTGTTTGGTTGAAACTATCCATGTAGTACCACCTACAATGGTATAGCAAACACGATCGAGGAGAAAGAAGAGTTTGAAACGGTCTTAAAATTTTACGAAAAAGCGCCAAAAATTGGTCTTCAAATTTTGCCATCTACACACTTTTCAATCACGATTGACTATCTTGGCACCGGATATACATATATTGTAATCAATGATACTTCACGAGCGCTTGATTAATTTTTTAAAATTCAAACTGTTTTTTCGGCTACAGTGCTCGATAACCATCCTTAACCAGTTTATGTATACGTTATCGTCGGAAGTGTGTATATGTTGAAAAATCAAATTCCTAACCTATTGCATAATAACAGTTGCTAATTGGTCTTGACATATTTTTCAAGTTGTCACTACTCAACAGTTTTTTTTAGGAGTACATTTTATTGTCTCAGTATCTGCCGAGCAATAGTCTTACAATGCAATGCATCTAACAAATTTAATTTATGTTCTCATGGAAATAGATGTACTTGATTCATGTGTTTATGATATTTCATGTTCCTTTAGCTCGTGCGATCAGTGCAACCGAATTGAATTGAGGTAATTGTGTAACTTCTGTACCGAATCGTAGTTTGAAATGTTGTTTTCCAGCAGAAGCTTGTAAAAGTCGTTGATGATCTTGAGTGGACAGAGTACAATTGGACAGATCGATTTTGAGTAATGATCGATTATGTTTTATTAGTTCAATAAGAGAATCGACGCTTGAACTTGTCACGAGCTTGTTCCCTCTGAGAGACAGTTCCCGAAGACTAGTATTATAGTAGGCAAGTGCATTGGCTAACGATTGTACTCCTACATCACCGATCTGATTGTTGTTCAATCCGAGTTTAGTCAATCGGTGATTTCTCTTAAGCATTTCAGCCAGATATTGAGCACCTTTATTGGTGATTTCATTCGTACTGATAAGAAGCTGTTCCAAAGCTGAATTGTTTTCTGAGAGTAGCTGTGTTAGAGAATGAAGACCCAAGTCCAATATTCGATTCGAGTCGAGTTTCAAGCCGATCAATGTCGTGTTGTTATGCAACGCATCGGCCAATACGGCGATTCCTTGTGAGCTTATCTTGTTCTTATCTAACCGAAGAATCACACATTGCTTTTTGATTATCGCATGTTGCACCACAAGTGGAATATCTCGATCGTCGAGATCTTCGTTGCTCAAATCTATCGATGAATGTGCTCGACATAATCTTGTTTTACTTTCAATTTTCCACGTATGATCGTCACATTGTTTCATCAACTGTGGTGTCACACTCGGAGACGCAATTATCGTTGACATATTCGTGAGAAGATCACTAGACAAAATAACAGGTGAATTAGAGACGCTCTCAAGTCGTAATGGAGGCACTATTGATTGAATTTGCTTTAAATGAATCACGACCAGACCATTACCGGAATCAGCAGATGAGACCACTTTGAAGTGAGAACCAGCTAACAGAAGTATCGAGTCTTCTCGTTGAAAATAGGAATGTCGTCGAATGTCTTTGCCTGAATAAGATTCAATAATAAACATAGTACGCGTTCCTGTCTTGCCGAGATATGTGTCCGATTGTAAAACATCAAGAGATGATGTACATAATGTGAAGCCCCACCAAGTGAATGTCCTATTCGCAGGATATTTTTCGCTCAAATCCATCTTGATGCCGTGATAAACAGTGATAGGAGCCGATTGAAGTCGAGAGAGTGCCGTAAAGAATAGCTTTAAATAGAGAAGCCACGGTTTCAAATTTCTTCGATCGTCTTCGCGAAGTATTGAGTTGAGGACGAAACATAGGCATTGTTCATAAGGTAGCCAATCCATCGAATAGAGCATTATTGCAGCTGATTCATCTTGCGTCAGTCCATCAGTAGGATTTTCACATCTCTCTTTAGCAATATAGACATAAGTGTGTACGTCAGGTAGCATCGGAATCAATGGTTCGACAGCCTTCTCCAATGAAACAAGAGTCTGCTCATCATAACCGTCGATGGGCTTGAGAGCTTGAAGTGGCTCTTGAGCGATATCATAGAAACGAGCTGCCACATGCTTTGTCAAATCTTGCATTGAAAAGTCCATTTGTTAACGATCAACTGAATTCAGTAGTGTAAGAACTTGTCTTTTTTTACCATGCGCTCTTATCTCACCTTGACTCGCACAATCACAAGTGAGATTCGTCTTTCTTTATAAGAGTAAAGTCCTTTGTTATCATTTGCTGTCCAAACAAATAAGATGACTTCTCTTGGTAGAATTCTGCAGTTGGTAAAAAGGATCATTGTCACGAACACAAGTAGTTGTTATTTTGTTCTCTTATCGATGAGTAAAATTGAATACGAAAATGGTTGACGAAAAATTGAAGA